TTGATAGAGAACTGCACTAGAAGTCAGAGGTACAGGTTCAACATTTCCAGTCTGTAAAGCATTTTGTAAATTTGAAGTATTATATAAATGTCACTTGTTATTATTGTCCATCACATTTATATAGTGCTCTTAATCACACAATATTTTATGGAGTACATGGGTTGGATTTTGATATTTCCTCTCTTCTTGACCCTGAGTGTCTAATAGATACATTGACTTGAAGGCAGAAAGATTTGGATTGCTTCTGACACATACTAGCTATGTGACTGTAGTCAAGTCTTTAGGTCTTTCTGTGTCCTCAGCCAACTAACTTTCTATGATTCTTTAACTTGTTGTCTGCCTTTGTTTCCTCAATGGTAAATGGGGACACTAATAGCACAGGGTTGTTGTGAAGATCAAGTGAGATAGTTGGCTTAGCATAGTGCCTGGCACACTGTAGGCAGTTAATAAATGCTGGCTCCTTTCCCTTCCCATTTAAACACTTACATTTGTATGTTGTAGCGGAAAAAGTCGCTCCTAGGCTGAAAGACATTAGACTTGGCTTTGTCTTTGGAATACTTCATCAAGCCTTCCACTTGTTAACTGCTAACTACTTTTCTTGGAAATCATATATCATCATTTATAAAACACATATAAGCAAATATGAATGATCATTATTATTATTAGTGTCCCCAAGTTATTTAGCCCTGGTATCTTTGTCTATCATTGCTTTGTCAGTAAGGGCAAAATATATCATATGTCTACTCCTTCAGTATTATAGTATTGTAAAGACCAAGTATCAACCAAGCATTTATACCAGGCTAGTCATTAAAAAATTAAATTCATCAAACCTTTATTAAATATTTGCATGAAGGGTCCCATGCTAAATTCTGTTGAAAAAATCCAAATTTAAATAAGAAATGCTTGTGATGCTCAAAGAGTTTATGGTCTAGTAAGGAGAATGAGGCACAAATATGTAACTATGGCAAAAATACATTCTATAATAAGGGCATTTGAAAGGAATAAGTGCTGTGGGAGGATCAGAGGTTAAGATCCATATTCATGTGCATTGACAGGAAAGCTGTCCCTCAGGAGCATATGCTGTGGCCATGTTCAACATGGGGATTTCAAATCTTAAAAACGATTGCTTATTCCATTTCTTGATGACTTGAGCATTCCTTAGTGCCAATGAAAAAGACTCCATATGGTGGCTGCTTTAATTAATTTTTTCCCCATAAAAGAAATCAGCCATCATATGGAACAGTTGTTGGCTTGGGAATGAATGTAGACAGCTCATCTGAGTGCACTGAGAAACCACAACTGAAGAGCCACTGATGGGCCTGGGGTGTGTCTGGGCAGGAAAGATTTTTGACAATTAATTCATTGTATTTTACATTAAGCCAACATGTATAGGAAAACCAGACTAGTCATGTTCACCAGATGAAGAACCCGTGAGTTAGAGAAAAAGTATAAATTGGAAAGTGCTTCAGTGGATCCATAATCCTATCAATGTAGATTTTCCCTCCATTGATGGAGGACACAACCTACCCACAACTTCTCATCCTGAATCATTCATTTCTAAGGATGTTCCTCCATAGAACCTCCACAGAGGAATCTACCCAAGATGCTGGAGGCCTTTCTCTAGGTATATTTATATTTTACACTAGGGCAGTCCTTGGTCTGCTCATCTATTAACCTTTGCAGTTAGAGGATCCTAGCTTTAGCTAGCTGCCCAAGGCAGCTAGGGTGCACAGTGGATAGAGTGCTGGGTCTGGATTCAGTAAGACCTGAGTTCAAATATAACCTCAAAGACTTCATAGCTCTGTGACCCTTGGAAAGTCACTTAACCTCTATCTGCCTCAGTTTCTTCAATCATAAAATGGGGATAATAATAGTATGTACTTTCTGGAGTTGTTGAGAGAATCAAATGAAATTATATTTGTAAGGTGCTTAGTACAGTAGTAGGTGCTTAATAAATCTCTATACCCTTTCCCTAACATGCTACAGGATTGAATCCCTTTCTCTGGTTCCCCTCCTTGTTCATTTTATATCATTGGCCTACCTCCTTTTCTGATCATACTTTACTTGGATGGTATCCCTCACACCATTTCTCAGATATACAGGATAACCTCTTAGTCTTAGTGAAATCTTAAGCTCTGTATTTTGTATTTCTATCTATATCATGAGTGGCCATGACCAAAAGGATAGAATATCTTTAAAGAGAGATTATTTTTATTACATTCAAGTACAAGTACAGAAGTACTTGCACCATGTTAGCAAAGTGTCACCTCGTTGAAGTCGATCAATAAATGTATATTTTAGTCCTTACTTTGGACCCAGAACTAACTTTGGGATAATTCTTAAATAATAAACAGTTAAGGACAGTTTGTAACTAACATATCAATTGCATGAACAATAAACACCTGCTACTTATGCAGAATTCAACCTATAAGTATATTCAAATAAAGGGAATTTGCCTCAGTGCTATGCAAAGACAAATGGGACTCATATGATAACCCTAAAGTACTATGTCTCCTGTATCTTTTGAAAAAAAAGTAACATTCAATATAATTTTATTGATAAGTACATTCCAGTTGTTTGGATATAATAATCCATGATTGTATCAAACTATCAAAGAATTATCTTATAGACCCAGAAAAGTAGTAACAAAATTGATCTGGAAGAACAAAAGGTCAAGAATATCAGGGGAATCAATGGTGGCCTAACAGTTCCAGATTTTAAACTATATTACACAGCAGTAATCATCAAAACAATCTGGTACTAAGAAATAGAGTGGTAGATCAGTATTAGTATACAATACATACTAGTAAATGACCATAGTAATCTAGTGTTTGATAAACCCGAAGATCCAAGCTTTTGGAGTAAGAACTAAACATTTGGCAAACATTTCTGAGAAAACTGGAAAGTAGCTTGGCAGAAACTAGGCATAGACCAACATCTCACACTATATACCAAGATAAAGTCAAAATGGATTAATGATATAGATATAAAGGGTGATATCATAAGTAACTTATGGGAGCATGGAAAAATATACCTCTCAGATCTATGGATAAGGAAAGAGTTTATGATAAAACAAGAGATAGAGAGGGTTATAGAAGGTAAAATAGATAATTTTGATTACATGAAAATTAAAAAGCTTTTGCACCAAAAACAAAACAAAACAATACAGCCAAAATTAGAAGAAAAACAGGAAACTGGGGAAAATTGTATAGCACATTTCTCAGATAAAGGCCTGATTTCTCAATTATATAGAGAACTGAGCTAAATTTATAAAAATAAGAGCTATTCCCCAATTGATAAGTAGTCAAAGAATATGAACAGGCAGTTTTCAGAAGAAGAAATCAAAGCTATCAATAGTCACATAAAAAATGCTCTATATCACTATTGATTAGAGAAATGCAAATTAAAACAATTCTGAGACACCACTTTGTACCTCTCAGCTTGTCTAATATAACAGAAAACAAAAATGAGAAATGCTGGAGGGGGTGTGAAAAATTGGAACACTAATGCACTGCTGGTAGAGTTGTGAACTAATCCAAACTTCCTGGAGAACAATTTGGAACTATGCCCAAAGGGCTATAAAACTGCATATTCTTTGACCCAGCAATACCACTACTAGGTTTGTATTCTAAAGAGAGCAAAGGAAAGGGAAAAGGACCTATTTGTACAAAAATATTTGCAGCACTTTTATGGTGGCAAAGAATTGGAAATTAAGGGGATGCCTATCAATTGGAGAATGGCTAACCAACTTGCAACCTATGATTGTGATAGAATACTATTGAGCTATGAGAATTGAGGAGGAGGGTGGTTTTTCAGAAACCGGGGAAGATTTATATGAACTGATTCAAAGTGAAACCAGTAGAACATCATGCACTTTGACAGCAATATTGTAAGGATGATCAACTGTGAAAGACTTAACTACTCTGATCAGGACAATGATCTGAGACAATTCCAAAGGACCCATGATAAAAAAAATGCTATCCACCCCCAGAGAGAGAACTGATGAATTCTGAATGCAGATTGAAGCATATTTTTAAACTTTATTTTTCTTGCTTTATTTTGTTTGTGTTTCTTTTGCAACATGGCTAATATGGAAATATGTTTTGCATGAGTTCAAATGTATAATCAAAATCAAATAACTTGCTTTCTCAAAGAGGGGGGAGAAGCAGGAGGAAGAGTATTTGGAACTCAAAATTTTCTTACATATTATTTAAAAAAATTTTTTTTGCTAGGCAATGGGGTTAAGTGAATTGCCCAGGGTCAGACATCTAGTAAGTGTCTGAGGCCGGAATTGAACTCAGATCCTCTTGACTCCACAGCTGGTGCTCTATCCACTATACCACCTAACTGCCCACAGAACTCAAATTTTTTAAGAAAAATTCTTGTTAAAGTTTTTTGCATGTAATTGGATAATAGTTAACAAAAATTAATAAAAAATAGTTTTAAAAATCTATGCTTATTACTGATAGAAACTTTCAGTTATCAAGGAAGTTTAATATGCCATTCCTTGACTGTACTGGATAAATGAGTATGTTTATGTATATATGTATTTATATATGTATGTGTATACATACAGACAAATATATATATGTATGTATGTATGTATGTATTTCTATAGTGTTTGAAATAATTTAGTCTCTTAAACAACTTAAACATTTTACCAGAGACACTGTTTGTTTATATCATTAATTTGCTTGGCAAACCCTTAACACACAAATGTCAAAATAGTAGGCCCTGACTTACTGTGGCATTAATGTATTAAGGAAAATGTATGGCTGAATGAGACCTGTGGGTGAATTGAGCTGGCAGAATCAGACTTTCTTCATTGTGGAATTTTCCATTTATAAAATTAATATCTAAGTGACAAATGTGTGTTTTTTTGTGGTGGGGAGGGTTTTAACCTCATAAGGCTCTAAGACTTCCTCAAAGGGAAGAAAGTTAGATTTTTAAATCATAACTACTCTAAATTTTTTCTTTTTCCCCTTCAAACACTCTTTCAGGTACATTACCAAGAAAATGTAAGAAAGAGCTTTTGGCAGTGAAGCTAAGAAACAGGCCAAGTAAACAGGAATTAGAGGACAGGAACATTTTTCCAAGGAGGACTGATGAGGAAAGACAGGAAATCCGGCAGCAGATTGAAATGAAACTTTCTAAGTAAGTAGACCACTCTTTCCCAAGGGAAGAACCTTGCCTTTGTTAAAAGTTCAATCCCACTGTTCTTTCTGCCTTGTTTGTGTCTTATGCCTAAATGTTGTCATATCTACCCGCTGTTCATCTCCTTTGGAGTGTATGAAACTTAAGATGAGAAATTCATGGGTTAGAAGCAAAAGAAAAGGGAAGGATGAAGCAGTCATAGAATCTTCTTGAGTCTGACATATGTATTATTCAAAGTTAAGCAATTTTAGGACAGGACCTTTGGCTTCCTTTATATTAGGGACACATGTTTACTGGGAAAAGCTTTAGGACAATGAGAATGAGTGTAAAGTCCAGAACGGTTTTGAAATCTAATATGCATCTGTGAGTCATCTTCAAGTAATAGAACAAATGAGCTCCAGAAACTTCACCTATGCCCTACAATCTGTCCTTCTTGAAAGTAGTTCTAGAAAGAAAGAAAGAAAGAAAGAAAGAAAGAAAGAAAGAAAGAAAGAAAGAAAGAAAGAAAGAAAGAAAGAAGGAAAGAAAGAAAAGCAGAAAGATGTTGTGATTCATCAAGGTCTTTCATAAGACAGAGTCTTAATTCAAGAACTAGGAAAAGAAGAATGGAACTGATGGTCTTATATCTTCTCCCTCTACCAAAAGAGAGAGAACAAATAGAAAAACTAGCTTCTGGGTATTGTTTGCCATACAGAGAGAGCAGGTATTTTTGGTGCTCAGCAGTGCAGAATGTCTTAGCTAGACCATTTCATTGTTTATTTCATGAGCTGCCCACATTATCCCTTGAACAGCTTCTCTAAATGAGAGAGGGACTTTTGGTAAGCTGTTATGTGGGAAGCCATTTGAATGTAGTGACAATAGGCTGGATGCTGCAAGCACTAATGAAATTTTTTGGGCCCCAGCTTGGGTGCACTTCCAATGTGAAATTTCCTCATCATCATGCAGATTGACTGGCAAATTATGCACAAAAGTGAAATTTTTTGAAGCATCTGAGAGTTGGCACATTGTTTAATTGTGGACTGGATCAGTTCACTTAGGGGTGAGTGCTCCATGAATCTGTTCATGGTCTTGGTCCTACATTTTATGAGTGACTTGGATATATATATCTTGCCTCTCCATTTGTCAGTTGTCACAAACCTAGAAGGGTTAACAAATAGTCGAACAAAAGAATTGAGATCTGAAAAGATCATAATAAGATGAACCTAATACAATGAAATTTAAGAGGTATATCAATATGGAAGCATGTCTTTGGTTCCAAAAAATCAACTTACAGAATGGGGAAGATGGTGAGTAGATAATGATTTATATGAAAAATACTTTGAGGGCCATTGAGTAGACTTCCAAAATCAAATTGGGTAAACAACATTATTAATCAACCAACCAAAAATAATTATGAAACACCTACCATGTGGCAGGAGTGTAAGCATTAGTGATAAAGACAAAGATCAAATGTTCTCTGCCCTTAAGGAGCTTACATCAAAACATGGCATGGGGAGTGGGGGTAGGGAGGGAGTCTGTATATACACATGCAAGAATTTTCAGAACATATACAAAATGAATGTAAGGTAGTTTGAGGAAAGAAGGTGGGAGTAGCTGGGAGAGTCAAAAAATGCTTCATGTAGAAGAAGGCACTTAAGCTGAGTCTTGAAGGGCACACGGAATTACAAGAGGCAGAGGTGAGGAAGGAATGCATCCTAGGCATGGGAAACAGCTAGTGCAAAGGGGAGATGGAGAATCAGCTGTGAGTAACAGCAATTGGTCATTGTGCCTGACATATAGAGTGTATAGAGGTGAGGAATGTGGCAAAAGGCTGGAAAGATGGAAAGGGTCCAGGTTGTAAAGAATTTTCAAATTTCCAAAGAGACACGTTTATATTTGATACTAGAGGATGATCACTCTGGCCCCTGTGTAGAGAATGGATTGGAAGGCAATGAAGCTTGAGGCAGGGAGAAAACATAGGAGGTTATTACAGAATTCTAGACAAGAGGTGGTGAGGGCCTGAACTAGGAGAGTGGCCTTATGATGGAGAGAAGGGCATGTAGACAAGAGATGCTGTGGAGATATAAATGACTATGTTTCACAGCTAATATGGGGTGAGAGTGAAGAATTGAGGCCTGAGGTTGTAAATTTAGATGACTGGAAAGATGGTGGTACCTTCTAAAGTAATAGGGATATGTGGAAGTGGGGTAGCTGTTTTTTAGGGGAAGATAGAAATGTAATAGCACCACCACACTCTGCCTTAGTGAAAACAGGCCTGCAGTTCTGTACCCTGTTCTAGATGGCACATTTTAGGGAGGACACTGATAAATTGGAACATATTGAAAGAAGGGAAGCCAGAATGGAGAAGTGATTGAAAACTGACATTGGAGAATCAATTCAAGGAACTGGGGATGTTAATCCTATAGGAAAAGAACACTTAGGGAGCATGTGATATAATGCAGCAAACATTTATTAAATACCTACTGTTTGCAGAGCACTGTGCAAATTGTTGAGGAAGATCTAAAGTTTAAAAAAATACAGTTCCTGCCTTCAAAGAGTTTACAGTGTAGCAGAAAGATAAGAAAATTGTACAGATAGTATTAACACATTATTGTATTGTAAATGAATTATAGAATTGCCAGATGTGGTACTAGGTGAGAGAATAGGTTTCTGCCATTCAAGGGAGAAACTTCCTTGAGGATATTGTGCTTGCATGGGCTTTTAAGGATAAGTATGGATTCAACAAGTGAAGAGAAAGAAAGAAGACATTCTAGGTTAAGAAAACAGATTAGCAAAGGGATAGAGGAATAAGAATGCAATGCCTATTCTTGAAGTTAGAGTCTGGATGCAGCAGAGATTACATAGGAGTTAAATGAGTTAATGTCAGAAAGGTCAATCAGCCTTGGATGCCAAACATGTGAGTCTGAATTTTACTTAGGTGGCAATAGGTAGCCATAGAGGTTTTTTAGCAGAGGAAAGACATAAGATGTAAAAGTATAAAATAATATTCTGGTGGTAGCACGAAGGATGCCAACTAGAGAATACAGAGCAGAGACAGAAGATGTTTGGAATCTATGGCAGGAATCAAGATGAGTGGAAACAAGGCCCTGAATTGATGATAGCAGGGATAATAGAAAAGAAAAAAAAAAGAAGAGGAGATGTATTCAAGTGAAATTGTGGAGACAGAATTAAGAGGGATAGAAGAATTTAGATTTAGAACTGAAGGGGATGCTAGAGGCTGGTTCATCCAGTCCCTTTGTGTTCCAGATGATGAAACTGAGGCTCAAAAAATTCGCTTGCCCATAGTCACATAGCTAGCAGCAGAGGTAGGATTTTAACCGAAGTCTTCCTGACTACAAGTTCAGTGCTCCATGTTTTATTTCAGAGGACTGGGAAATGATGAAATAGAAGAAGAATCAAATGCAACCCCATTTATTTTAATGGGAGAGAAGGCAAATGCTATTGCCATGTAGAGAAATAGTGAAAGCACAGAATTATATGTATATCTAAAGCAATAAGGGATCTCAGAAACCTAGTTTGACTCCCTCATTTTATAGATGGGGAAATTGAGCTCCATGGAGGCTAAATGACTTGCCCAAGGAGTAACAGCTTAACATCAGAAGCAGAATTGGAGCCCAGATTCTCTGACTCCAAAGCCAGTGCACTTTCCACTATTCTCTGTTGCCTCCTTTTTGGCCAGATTCCACAAATAACTAGAATGCACAACAGAAGGTGTAGGGAAGAAGATAATAAGCTTGGTTTTGAACATGAGTTTGAGATGCCAGGGAAACACTGAAGAAGAGAAAAGTTCAAAGTCAGCTAGTATTCCTGGTCTGTAGCTCAGAAGAGGGAAGACTTAGAAATAAGGATTAGTAAGTGACTTCAAAGAAGTACGTGCCAATTAAAACCTTGAGAGTTTTGGAGATTATCAAGGGCAAACATTGTAGAAGAAGATGAGAAAGGTTCCAGAACAGATTATTGAAGAACATGGACACCAAATGATAGCTATTTTTCAAATACTTGAAGGGCTGACACGTAAAAGAGGGCTTAGGATTGTTCTGCTTGGCCCACAGGGCAGAGCCAGGACCTGTTTTTTCCCCCACAGGGGATGAACATGTACTAATAATTGATGTATTCACTGGGGAGAAGTAAGAGGGATGGATTCTCAATTCTCTTCTGGGGAAAAAGGGGAGCTGTCCAATTCAGGACCCAGACAGTATAAATCAGCGGCTAGCTTGAAATGGTAACTAGGATATATCAGAGGTCCTAAGATGTGAGGGGCTGAGATGGAAATGAGAAGCTGAATGTGGTAATGGAGATTTTTTAGGCTTGGAAATCAGTATAGGAGGGAACCTATAGGGAGTGATGACAGTTTCTTGTTCTAATGGAACTTTTCTCCTCAAAGCTTTAGTCTTTTATGGCTACAACATGCATATGTCCCCTTGGTGGCTCACCTGCACTGGTTAGGATGTTGGCTTGGAATATAACAATGAATAAAAGTTTCAAAGAGTCATATTTCAGCTTGACATAATAAAAGGTTTTCTAAAAATTAGGACAGTTCAAATGTAGACTTGGGTAGGAGGTAATTCATTCGTCATCCCTGGAAATTTGAATTGTAGGTTGTATGATTGCTAGCCAGGAATGTTGTAGAGATGATTCTTATCTCAGATATGAAGCTAAGATGAAGCCCCATGCAAGTTTGGGATTCTAGGATTCTATGAAACCATTCCAAACTCATGTAGCTATTGTACTTAACTGGACCCTGTGTTTCTTATTTAGTTGACTTTAGCTCTATATGTACCATATTTCCAAGTTTCATCTTAGATAGAATTTGTTTTAGCCTGGAATGGCTAGATTCTAAGATCCTGGAGTCAATTTATGTTCCTCAGTCTTCCTCATTTTCTTGCTTACTGTTTTTTATGAAGACAGGAGAGCAGAACAAAACTTTTCCTGAACATAGTGTGCTAGGAGCTATGAGATACTTCACTACCGCCCCCTTTTTCCCAGAACTCACCTAATAA